AGCTGATGGAATTTTAATTGTATTTAATTGACTGCTCTCATACCTTCTGAAATCTAACACCTGAATCTGATATTGTTAACAACGGAACAGCGTCAATCATGATGGTTCTAAACAAGGCTAAAATTTCATCAATAAAGATATCATTGAAAAAATATATTCCAGTTTTGCAAACACTTAAAGAGTGAAGGAAAACAGGTTTACGCCTTGAGTCTTATATTTTTCACTGGAAATGGACTTCTTAGGCTAAATAAAATAGTCTAAGCTTTTATTTAAATAAGTACAGGATCAATATTAATTAAAATGAATCAATTCTTTGAGATGGAGGCTACATGTACAGTATAACTGGGCACGTAGGTGTATTTGCTTGGCATACTGTACTTAAGTAATACACCCATGCTGTGTACTAATTGATTACTTGTAATTATTGATCAATATTGATCCTGAAAATGTACTTATTTAATCAATAGTATAGACTATTTTAACATAACACTACAAGGGGCTAATGATCTTACCTGGCCATCATGAGTTATTGAATTATGAAAATGCATTCTCTCATAATTTCAACCTGCAGCAGCATTGGATATAACTGGGTATTTTATAAGAAGCACACTTGGATGGAAGGTCTTTTACTGACACCTCTTTTAATGGGCCTTATAGATGGCAGTATTTCAGGGCGAATGTACTATTGAACTATTTCTCCTCCAAATAAAAATCAAAAAGCAAATTTTCAGGAGTTAACACTTGTGTGGTGTGTCAACCCTTAAAATATGCAGTGATGATTTTTTATTACATCATGTAATAGTTCTCAGTTTTACTTCTCTGATTCATACTGTCACAGTGGTGACTAAAAACTGACTATCTTCAGGAAAAGAAAGTCTTATGTAAAAAAGAAAGATTGGATTTGCAATTCCACTAACACAAAAATGTAATGGAGCACATAAATACATGATGTGAAATCTGAAGGAGTTACACAGGGAAAATAAACTTGAAACTTTGTGCATTTTGTGTTCATCAGGATGATCAGCCTCAGATTTGACTGACAACTTCATTCTGTGTAGTTAGTGCAGCAGGTGTCATTAATAAAACATGTGGGGGAGCAATTTAATGTGCTCTGTATAGTGAACTTGCATTTTTACATTTTTTTTACAGGAAAAAACATGTTTTATGAATAGAAACTCATTATTGAGGATTATTGGAGATGGTGGTAGTTTTGTGTTAAGTATGAGCTTTGCAATTAATATTAAATAAAGGTTGGAGTGTAATGCCATTTGTGAACTTGCTGTTGAATCTTTTTAAGGCTGTTTTACCTCTTCTGAGATTTAATGGGAATAAAAGAAAGGTTACAAGTTTCCACTTTATTCTTTGTCATTCTATTAACCTAAACCTTTCACCTTAGCTTTTTACATAAACAGTGTAATAATCTCAGTTAATTACCTAATTACTGACAATTTTCCTTTAGTGACACATTGCATCAGATGTGTTCTTAAACCAGATGAGTTCATTATACAACAAGGACTGCTTAATCCGGTGATGGGGAACACTGCTGGCTCTTTTCAAAGAAAAAGATTTTCCAAATTAAAAAAATGATATAATATAGACTTTTTTGGTATAACCAGAGATTCTTTTCAATGTTTACTTGTGGGATTGTTTAATTGGACAATCCCACAAGTTTGCACATAGTGTAAATCATATTTAGTTGTTATACTGCTAGTCACATTTACTTTTAAGTATATTTTCAGTCTGTCTGGGGAGTGAATTTGTGTTTACTGTGATAACTTTAATTAATTTGCTATTTTTCTACAATATTTTAATCCTTCAAATCCTTCGTGGTTTCTCATTACTTTTAATAAAATAGAGATGCATTGTATTCATCTTTTATATTTTCACTTCCATTAGTAATAAAAAGGAAATTGAATAGGTGGGTATTGAATTCATGCATTTTTGCAATTATAATTTGCTATCACCTAATCCATGGCAGCAAAGAGAGTTGGAAATGAAGTACTTTAATTTATGTGTTAACGAACAATACTATATTTCAATTATAATTGAACTGTTCCAGATAAAATAATATATATTGCGGAAATTTGTGTGCAGTTCAAACTCTAAATATTAAAAAAAGAGCCATGCATGCTGAAAATGTATGTTCAGTCACACACAATCCTGAGTCTGGATAATGGGTATGAAATGTTTCCCACTTTTCCAGTGTCAGAACCAGCCTTTCCAGCTTTTTCAGCAGTCCTAATTGCTGTCTAGAGTAAAGCTTATTACTAAGTATTTGATATAGTCCCTGCTTTTCCAAAGGCTGCTGACAGTAACTGGCAATGTGTTGTGAGTGCTACAAATAAGAGGTTAAGAAAAAGAAAAAAGATTAAAAAATGGAGAAGTAAATACACATGAATCATAACACAATACAGACTATACTTCCTTATAAACAGTGTCTTATATACAGTATGATATGTCCAGTAGCCATATTACCCTGCAACTCACAGCTGGCAGTCCACTGAAGCTAAGCAGGTGTGAGCCTGGTCAGTACCTGGATGTGAGACCTCCTGGGAAAAGCTAAGGCTGCTGCTGGAAGAGGTGTTCGTGGGGCCTGTGGTCTGTGTGGGTCCTTATGCCCCAGTATAGTGACGGGGACACTATACTGTAAAAAGGTGCCGTACTTCGGATGATATGTAAAACCGAGGTCCTGACTGTCCGTGGTCATTAAAAATCCCAGGGCATTTCTCGAGAAGAGTAGGGGTATTACCCTGGTGTCCTGGCCAAATTTCCCCCTGGCGTTTCTCGAAAAGAATAAGGGTGTTACTCCGGCATCCTGGCCAAATGTTCTATTGGTCTTTCCAAATCATGGCCTACTAATAATCCCCATCTATAGATTGGCTTCATCATTCTGTTGTCCTCCCCACTGTTAGCTGATGTGCGCTGGCACAATATGGTTGTCGTCGCATCATCCAGGTGGGGCTGCACACTGGTGGTGGTGGAGGGGATCCCCATTACCTGTGAAGCACTTTGAGTGGAGTGTCCAGAAAAGCACTATAGAAATATAAGGAATTGTATTATTATTATTATTATTATTATTATTCAGAGCTACAGAAATGAAAATATATGGCTAAGAAGTTCTGTTTTTTGTGTGGTGTGTCCAGAAAAGCGCCATACTGTATAAGTGTAAGGAACTATTATTATATAGAATAAAGAATACACTGTAATTGCTTATATTTAATATTCCGCATTTATCTGATATATACTGTAATTATTTTTAAAAAGACGTGTGTTTTATATCGTTTATTTGTAGGAAAAAATAAATGCCTGGTGCCGTTTGGATAGGTTTATTTTTAGTTTTGTGTTGTTGTTTTTGTGATGCGACTCTATAGCTGTGTTTGGAGGTTTCAGTTTTCAGTTTCATCCCCTCCACCATTTTCTAACTTTAGAAAAATAAAAAAGTCACATAAAGATTGTGTAAGTTTGATGTACATTGGCAGTTACATAAGCAGTCAGTCATCAGCATGGACACTCTGCAAGGGAGTTGTATTCTGGAGGAAGTGATTGCTGCAGATGCTTGCTTTGAGTGGGTAGACGTGTAACTAATTACACTGACGATCCAGAAGTGCTGTTTGTACAAGGCACACCAATATAAAGTGCTTAAAAAGGACACTGAACACATCTAATAATCAAGTGATTTACTTTGTGATCTAAATAGTACAGTACGTGTGAAAAACGTCTTAACATTCATTTTCCATTAGACATCTACAGTATCTGCCTCTTAGGTAGAACCTGCGGCTGTCATTTATACATAATTTGTTAATTGCTGGCTGAGGAACATTGGCAAAGGTTTGTTTATATAAAGTTCCACATTATATTGACAAAACTGCTGTAGCATATTGTATTGTCTGAACTGTGTCTCAACATTACAGGCTATTCCATGATGAATATTTACTGGCATAAATACAAGTCTGGCATCTGTGAGTTTACAGTGCCTTCAATTTTCAAACAAAGAATAATGTCAGTTTTCTATCCTGAAATCACTGTCTTTTCTATATATGCTACTTCCAGTTGTGACTTTGAGTATAATGTTAATGTTCATAACGTTTGGAAAACCCTAAATGTTCAATGTGAACAAATTGAAGGGCAAAATATGTTACAGTAAATGTCAGTGGAACTAAAAAGAAAAAAAAAAAGGTTGTTTGCATAAGTTGTCAGACCCAGAAGAACCTGTAATATCTATTGTAATTCCTAGTGTTTTTAGGTGTGGCTATGTACTGTACGATATCGTTGTCCTGCCAAAAGGACACTGGAGTGTTCAGACTCTCTTTGACATGCAGTAGAAATCAACAGGACTCCAAGGAACCTTCTGAGGATGTGTGAACTTAAAAGATGACTAGAAAGCATCAGAGGGTTAAAATGATAGAATTTGCTTTTAATCTTTTTGTTTATAAATTTACGTTTTTTTTTTTTTAGTTATACTATTGTTAGATGCAGTGCTATCTTCCTTTTCCTATTGTTTATCATATTTTCCTTGATAAAGGTTGAAAAGTCTTGATGCAGGCACTGTATTTTCTAAATCAACTATTCATTCAGTTTCTTCTCATTTATATTGCTTCAGGTATACTGTATTGTCAGGCAAAAAGTGTCCACACATCTGGATAATGAGCGTGTGCTGTACTGATGCTTTTTCGTCTTTTTCGGCACGGCCTGTTTATATTGAATTTCACAATGGCTTGCGGATTTTAAAAGCCCCCAGCCCAGCTGGATGAAGCTTCGGCACAGTCAGTTCTGCCAGATAATGGCATCCATAATGTACTTTAAATACAAACCTGCGTTGTGTGCCCACACCTGTACTTCCTATTGCTCTGTCATCAAAATATTACCCTTAAGGGGAAATGCTTAAAATACCCAGATGAGCCAACGTCTGCAGAATAAAAAAAGAACGTATTGAACTATCTATCTGGCAGCCATTAACCTACTTTTTGGTGTCTCTTTGTGTTTTTTTTTTAACTTTTTAGGTGTGCACAGGACAATGGAGTGACACACACAGCCTGGCTGAACCGTTCAAGTATATTGTATGCTGGAGAAGACAAATGGTCGGTTGATCCGCGGGTGAGCCTGGTGACTCTAGATAAAAAAGAATACACCATCAAGATCGACAGGGTGGAGGTCACCGATGAAGGACAGTACACGTGTGCTGTGCAGACCCGAAGCAGGCCCAGAACAACATCTGTCCACGTTATAGTCCAAGGTACTGTAGAAGCTCTTTCCTTCACCTTGCTATTTACTGCATTTTCCCTGGTGTCCCCTACATTGCTAGTGTTTATTGTAGTCTCCACTGTGGCTATCGTGTGAGCTTCTGTGTGTTTGTGAAGGCAGCAAGTCAGGGATCTGGTGGCCAATACCTTATATGCAAAAAAATAATAAAAGTGTAAGAGAATACCCGATGTACTGAAAGGGGACCACCCCTGAAGCTGGCAAGATGGAACAATTGTTAAACTGGCAATAAATTCAGTCAGATACAGTACAGGCCTTATCTGAGATTGCTCAGTTTTGGAGGTAAGGTTCTCAAAAACTTGCAGAAGAAAATTTGCATAGACAAACAAGCACCAAATTGTAAGAGTGTTTGGATGTAGCTTTATTTCCAAGTAGAGAGCATATTTCAGGTGGGAGAAGTGAGGCTTATAATGCAAAAGTCTCCACTGTCTACTCTTCTGTCGATGAGAAAGTTTTCATATGAAGTGATGTGATTTATAAGCAGCGAAACATTAAGACATTGAACTGACTAAAGCCTTCCTAGGTGATTGAATGCCCATCAGATCAGCTTCACATTATATCCCGAAGCACAGAGCCAGGTTACCAACAACATTTCTCTCGAGCAAAAAGGATCAAAATGCTAGACTGGTATTTATCATGACCTGAAATTAATCCTAAAGACATATTACGGGAGTGTGTAGAGATTTCTGCAACTGTGTGGAAATCCAGAACTGAAATCAAAGTTCCTGGCATTGCAGAAGGGTGAGAATATTCCCAGGACAGATGGTGACAAATAACCTAAAGCTCTGAAAAAGATTTGCACATTGTAATTAAGGCCACCAGTGAGCATCAGATCTATTTTAGAGTTTATGAATGCATGTGTAAAAAATGGTGAGTTTTGAATGATGCATTTTATGCTTTTACTGTTACGGTACAGCACTTTTTTGTTATCCTGTGGCTTTAATGTGAGAATATTTCATCTTTGCGCAGTTCATGGAGGGGAAATTTTAATTGCACTGCCCTTCTGGCAAACTTCCAGAAAATTAGTTCTAAACTAGTATTCCTTCTGAACCTCATTTTCATCATTCCACAGGAGTTTAGGTGTGAAACAGGGTGCGTTGGATAGTTAACAACAGTAAAACTTTCTGGAAGTTTGTTGGAGTGTTTTCCAGTGTAATAATGACAGTTATTATAGTCTTGCACTGGGTGACTGGTTTTACAGCAGCCAGATGTGCAAATACTTAGAGTAGCCTTGTATTGTATGATTTTTAAAATCTTCATGTTATTTATCCGTATAAAAATGAGCAAACTCCTGATCCAAGGTATTTGGTACAAACAACTATGAGAAAAAAGCTCCCTTAATCCACTGTTCGTAGATTTACTGCCATATGTTTTAATGAAGCGCGTAATTGTATAATTAGAGCTGATATAACAGTATTGTACCTTGGAGAAGCACTTTTTTGTTAATCAGTAGAATTCTCTGCAAAGTGATTGATGGGAATGTCAAGTCTGAGCACTGGTGCATTGAGGAGTAGCTAGAAAAATGCAGATACACAGAGAGGGTGAAGGGGGAGTATGTGCAACTGGTATTGATTAAATTGCACTTACAACAGAAGAATCCGAGACAAATGCAGTATGTCTGATGGTTTGGTTACATAAATATTATTTGCATATTTTATGTGTTATTTACTGCTTTAAGCTTGTTGTCCAACTCCCCTCATTGAAAATTGTATTCTTGATGTTCCCTCTAAAGTGTTACAGGGGGTTGTTTGACTTGGCTTGTGTCTGCATGAAGTGATTACTCTCTGCTGTGCGTTATAATTCAGCCCAGATGGCACTTGAGCAAAAATTTTTGGTGTAGAGTGCAATTATGTATGAGTGTTAAACTTTGGATCACTTGGGATCTTAAAAGTGATTGTCAGCAAAACGTTCCAGCTGCCCTCATGAAAGTCACATTGTGAAACACCAAAACACACTTCCGGTGGCTTGGTGCTTGATTGTTAGAAATGTTTAGATGAAAATACGAGTCTCAGTTAAAAGTAATAATTTTGCTTATGTATTGATAAAACAGCATGATGTGAATAAATTGCATCTCAACTTTTTGTAGTTCAAAACCAGCTGGTGATGATGTGAATCAAGCAATAAGTTACACTGTTTTGTCCATGGGGACTGGTGCCTACTTGTAACAGAACTGCAGCTCAAGTACTGTACAGTATCACATGAAAGAGGAGCAAGTGGCTCTGTACTTTCTTTCAAAGGCCTGCACTGTTGTTTTTCTTTTTAATAGGGGAGCAAAATGCCTCAATTTTTCAAAAAGAATATTCTTTATAAAGCTAGTCTTTTATAACTTCTATTTAATTTTTTTTAATTAAAAAAACACATCTCCAGCAATTAATGAACTCTGCTACAGCCCCACGTTCCAGTACAGGTGTGGATAATGCATGCCTTTCGCAAAAACGAGAGCCGTCCGTCTTGTCTGCTACTCATTCGTCGTGTGGGTGCCACCGGGGCCGAGACAAGTTACCATAAACTGGAGAAGTGACACAGATCTCCAATTTTGGAAAAAAACATTTTGGTCACTTTTGAAGTTGAGAGGCACCCGGGTCATAGTTGTGTAGCAGACTAAGGAAAACCTGGATGATGACATAGTCCAGACTCAAACCAAAGGTAGCTGGACTGTAGATCTGTGCTCTGAACAAGCAGTTTCTCTGGTTGATTCCCCCTTTGATTTTTCCAAAGCCCAGTATAAAATCTAAGTTTTATTTTTCTGAAAGCATTCACTTTTGTTAAATATTCAGCCTTGATTTTATGAAGACCTGCGATTATTTTATGAATTTTTCATCTTCTGTTGTGTCAGAGATCTAATTAAGTGAAAGATCAAGAGGTAGCACCAGAGTTGCGATTGAATGAAGGAATAAAAAGGGAAGCAGAACTGCTTCTTTTTCAAAATGAGAAGTTCAAACGCTGAACCATCAGTAGGGTGCCAAGACTATTAATCCACTAGTCTTTCATACATTTCACCTCACAAAACCTGAGAGAAATTAATTTCATGGCACAGGTCTATATCATTGGACTTTCAAACAAATTCTTTGACTGCATTAGTTTATTTATAAAAGAAGAATTAAGCAAACATGCGACAAGAAAATATAGACAACATTGAGCCTGTTCCCCCAGACATAAAAATGGACAGAAAAAATCCTCTTGGGTTGATGAGACTCATACTGTAGTGCTAAGGCAAACATAATCTTAGTATTTAGTTAAAAAGTATGTAATTTAAATCAAGGGATGTTGCTTTAAAATTGTGTTGTGTACTACACAATGCACAATGCAATTGTCTGAAGGCCTCACTTAGAATATTAAACACAAGTTTGGTCACCATGTTAGAGAGAAGATATTGGTTCGCTGGATTCAATCCTGAAAAGACCTGTCAGATTCCAGGGGCTTAAGCAGAGAGGGGGCCTCCGACACAAGCATCCAAAATCGTCACTGACAAAGTCATCCCAGCAAACATCTTCAGAATAAACAGTGAAACACAGACCAGAAGGCATAAGTAGAAACTACTGTATGTGGAAGTGAATTAAAAACGAAGAACTGGGACATTTCTTCATCCACAAGATTGTGGGAGTATTAAACAACCTATGTTGACTCATTTCAAGAAATGGCTGAAAGAGATCCATGGAACAGTTAGGTACAGTACTAATCATTTGACACAGGGCTCGTCAGGTATCCAGTCATCTATTTTCAGTCTAGGCTGGACTGTCACAGTTGGAAGAATATTGTTATCATGCACTTGTTTTTTGAAGTTTTAAAAAAGAAAGCAGGGAATTAGTTTACAGTAGCTCATTCTGAAGCTACATGTTAGGATCTTAAATTATTACAGACAGTAAAGCATTCCTGAAAAGCAGTACAATTCTTCTATTTGCTAAATTCGTGAAATATATATCCTGCTTTCTTCCCATGTGATCCTGTGTTAACCAGCATCATTTTACATTTTATGTATAATTATACATATCTCTCAGAAGCATTATAACCAGAATAATGAGTAATTCCAAAGTCTATTCACACCACCATCATCCTTTTTCTTCTTCATAGCAAACGTTTTTAACAGACTTTTGTTTTGGGTCATGTACTGTAGCAGCGCAAAACACTCTCAAAATATGTCCCGTAACTGGCAGAGCAAAATTAACAAACACATTTGTAATTTGTAAAACAATTAACTAAGAGCAGGTTCAGTATGCTTTCTTAAGCTACTGTATGTGATGAGTTTATGTGAATCAACCACAGTAGAAACCATGTCAGGAAAGTAATGGTATTGTTTTTCAAATGGTATTTGAAATGCGGTAACTCTTGAAAGAGATCAAGATAATTTGTATTCAAAGGAAATTCAGATATTTGAGATGTAGGAAATTCTCCATTGAAAACAGGAGAAGCTTTTACATCAAAGCCACAGTGCAAGCAGTGATGACAGACCACTAAAGATTTCAGTTGGACATGAAAGCCTGGGTAATCAATACTCTCATTCATACTTTTTTTAAGCTGTTGTGCCTTTTTTCCCTTTCATTCAGAATTTAGCTCTGTCATCTTGTGGACATCAGGCTTTTAGCTTAACTGCTTAACAACTGCTCTGGCATTAGTCAAATAGTCCACAAAAAGAAAAGCACTTCTCAACGTTGCCTTGGCAACATAGAAACAGATGGAAGGTTTGATTGGAAAAGCTCTGGGACACTTTAACAAATAAAGGTTACAAATTAATAAAATTTAAAATCAGGATCAGTACAAAAAATGGTTTTCAAAAAACAATAATGTAAACCTTATATGAGAACCATTCATATCTATTGCAGTCAAAATCCTTGCTTTCTTCATTTAAAGCTATTGGCATACAAATATAAATGTATTGTTAGCCTCTTTACTGACTTAGTGTTATTACATTTTTTATTCCTAAATAAGTTTTCTAAAGGTAAGATACAAGTTCCCGTTCTGTTCTGGAAAAACAAA